CTGAAGAGGCTGAAACTACACATGCTTTCAACAGGATTAGACAAATTCACATTTGATCACTGACTACCGAAGTAGATGAAATTTTGTTCCATAAAGCTGGAAGCTAGGAGGACATACCAGCCAAATTATGACTGTTCATACCATGCTACCAAATATCTACTATTATATTATTACTGGCAAGTCTCGAGTTAACGTATTTATGGTCTGGCCCAACACAGGGGCTCATCTACACACAGTTACAGAATGTATTTAGATAGGGACAAAAGAAAGAACATTTATTAATGATTACTAAAATGTAGACAATATAATTTTGTTCTTTTGAACAAACTGGAGTTATCACCTATTTCAATGATTTAAAGGAAATAGCACTGAACAGCAACTTCGGAAATTCTGTCTGAAAGATCATGTCCTTTCAGAAGCATGTGGTTGTTTTGGGAAGCACAAGTAAGAAATACTATAATTAACAGGACTTAAGGAAAAACTGAAGATACAAAAAGCAACGTGTAACTAGTAAGCAAACTAATTTTATTCCTTTTTTCCTATGGATGGATATAGCAGATGTTAACAACTATCCTTTCAGGTAAATATACCTATCCTTCTTCAGATTTCTGATGTACAAAATGTCCCCTTTGCTAAACTTTAATTCTGACATTTTGCAACAGTGTTTGATTTTATTGCTGGAACTGAAGGGTCTGGTATCAGTACAGGATAGTTTTATCTATAGTAATGCGTTTCATAGATATGCATATTTTACCCTTCTTGAACTACTATTTATTATGTATGATTCATAGTAAAAATTAAGTAGTTTCACTAGATTCTAGAAAATATAAAACTGACTGGATAACAGTTAATATCATGTGGAAATGGTTCCCTTTTTAAAATCATATCTAAAAATATTTGCAATGTAATACTCTTAACTTCTAAGTTTTTGCAAACAAGCCCACGTTCACCTGTATTTTCCTGAAATGTTCACTTGTTCCCAGGGAAAAGCTTCTCTCTAACAGCAGCAGGTATATGTGAAATTATATATTTTTTTTTTTTAATCTCATTGAGCTAAGAAGATAGTGACAAGAAAAAGAGAATAGAAGGAGAATGAATAACTGCCCACTGGCCAAAAGGGATTGCTCTTCCCAGGGTAAAAGAATAAGAATAAAGAGCTAAAGTGGCCACAGACATGAGTTGCTGAAAACTTTTTCACATATTGTGCAGTAAGTAATTGGAATTTGGCAGTCAAATTCTTCAGATATTCTGTTTAGACTATGTACGCTTCAGATTATAGATTAAAAGACTGCTAGGTACCAGAAGAGTGGCTATTTCCTTTACTATTCAGTGTTGCCCACATCCATGCAGCATAAAGGAGAAAGTGAACTCATTCAAAGGAAAAGGGGACATGAACTAGACTGGTGGTAAATAAGGAATCAGAGGGAAAGAAAAGAGATAAGAAACTATGAAGCTAGATAAATCATGAGATGGTGGAAAAGAAAGGGAAGGGAAAAAAATGAGGTTTGAGGGCACAGGTTTTGATCCAGCAAAAAACATGGGAAAAGAGCATAATTAACTGAGGAAAATTTCAATAAACTGAATAAGTTTGGAACCATGTTCCAGGAATCCTCTAATCACTTGTGAGTTATCATTGAATTGTCCATCGCACTTTTGAAAGGTTTTGCCCTCTGGACAAGGATGGCCACATTTCTGACAAGCCTGAATATCCAGGCTATACCCAAGGGTTGTTAGAAAGATTGCTAGTTGGATTTGGCTTGAACTGCCAAGATCTATATAGATAATTGTGTTCCAGTGCCTGCAAATGTTCCCTAGTACTGTTTAATTTACTAGAATAGCTGTGGCTAGGAAATTCTGGAGTTTTATAAGACATCTGATGCAGAGAAAAGGAATTGAGAAAGAAATAATCTAACATGAATTTCAAGAGGTAAGGACAAAAGCTGAGAACAAATCAGGATAAATCATTGAATTGGGTTTTCATGGCCAGGTTTTGGTAGCAGAGGGTGCTACAGAGGTGGCTTTCTGTGAGAAGATGCTAGGAGGTGCTCCAGGTGCTGGAGCAGAGAATCCCCTGCAGCTTGTGGTGAAGACCATGGTGAGGCAGACTGTCCCCCTGCAGCCCATGGAAGTTGACAGTGGAGCAGATATCCACCTGCAGCCCATGGAGGACCCTGCACCAGGGCAGGTGGATGCCCGAAGGAGGCTGTGACCCTGTGGGAAGCCCACGCTGGAGCAGGCTACTGTCAGGACCTGTGGACCTATGGAGAGAGGAGCCCACGCTGGAGCACGTTTGCTGGCAGGATTTGTGACCCCGTGGAAGGGACCCATGCCGGAGCAGTTTGTGAAGACATGTAGACCATGGGAAGGACTCATGTTGGAAAAGTTTGTGGAGGACTGTCTCCCATGGGAGGGACTCCAAGCTGGAGCAGGGGAAGAGTGTGAGGAGTCCTCTCCCTGAGGAGGAAGGAGTGGCAGAAACAACATGTGATGAACTGGTTACAACCCCCATTCCCCATCCCCCTGTGCCACTCGTGGGAAAGAAGTAGAGAAAATGGCATGTGAAGTTGAACCCAGGAAGAACCTTCTCTGATTTGTTTTGTAATAAATTAAATTAATTTTCTCCAAGTTGAGTCTGTTTTGCCTATGACGTTCACCTGCAATTGGTGAATGATCTCTCCCTGTCCTTATTCAAGATAAACCCACATGGCTTTCATTATATTTTCTCTCCCCTGTCCCGCTGAGGAGGGGAGTGACAGAGCAGCTTGGTGGGAACCTCGTGTTCAGCCAGCGTCAACCTACCACAATCAGAATAAGACAGGACAAAGAACCTGATGGAACAGAAATGCAAGATAGTAGTAAAAACCAGAATGGTCCATGGCATCCAATACACGTTCTCTTTTAGCATGCAAAATGAACCCATGTTTCCTGAATCTTAGTTAGAACTAAAAGGATAATGGTGTATTACCACTACAAGTGAAAGAAATTAGAGACCTTTGTTACCACCTTAAGTTTCTAATTCTTCAAGGTGACATTATGATGGCACATAGTGTTGCAATTTTTAAGGTAGCTTGGGCATTATGTGACAGTTTAAATGAAAGAACATTGCAGAAGCAAATTCACATGAGGCAAATCAGAAAACACAAGAATTATACTACTTCTGGAGTTCTCTTTTCATCTCTTTGTGAAGCCTGGTTCTTAATTACCTAACCACAAGCAGAAACTTCCAAGTTTTCCACCTCATATAATAAACAAAGTACATCATGTGGCATAGACAAATCAAGGAGAGTAAAGCAGATGAAAATCTTAATCTTTTGCAGAAAGTGGTAGGAGTTTGCTTTTTCTAGTTTTTCATTACTTCATCCAGTCTCCAAAGTTCTCAGAAATAACCAATAAAGTTCTGAGATAGCTTTGTTCATATTGAAAATGGTTAAGTATTTTTTTGCTTCCTTCTGTTATCTCTTTCTTTTCTTAATCTACACTTACATGCTATCTTTTGTTGTCAATATTAACTGTGCTGTGTGTTTGCATGTGATCTTTTAGTGAAAACGAAGGCAAAAGAAGCATGTAGTACTTCAGTATTTCCATAGTTTTCTTCCCAGGGAAACAACACTGTCCCTTATCTGCCTCTTACCTCCTCTTCCTCTTACCTTCCTCTTACAGTACGATTTAATGTTACCATGTCTTTTGCTATTCTGTGACAAGGTGTTCTTGACTTTGCTCCAGTATTCCTGTGCCATTTATTTTACACTCATACCTAGTAATCAGATTGTATACTTCTCATGCTTGATGGGAACTACTAACATGTTCTTCATTTCATGGATGCCTAGCTTGAAGCCCTCTGGATTATGCACATTCCTGAATGGCAAAACCACAACAGAATGCAGTCGGCGCAACCCTTTGAATGTGTAGAGTGTTATATAAATGAAAATGGCCTAACATTCCTAGAACCTGAATTTCTCAAACATGATTCTCAAAAAGAGCATTTTTGAGTTAAATTATGTTTATAGGCTGTTTCTGTTTCTTATTAAGAAGGTAAATTTATTATGTCATAAAATAAACAACACATATCCTAATTAAATATATCAAAGCAAATAGCAACTTATGATTAAATTAATATATGTGTATTTAAAGAGGATTAAAACTGCAGGGTATGGGCAATCCATTTAAAATTGAAGGTAAAATCAAATATTCAACAGAAATATAATGATAAAATATTGATAATCTAAACAATATGAGGATGTTTTTAGGAAACAGAAAGAGAAAACAGCATACATTTTATACTTACATGACTCATAGGCACGGGGAGACAAATTCGGACTACATATCTCATTATTGGCATTTGCTCTTTTTTAATTACTTTATTTTGTAACTTTAGCATTCTTTCATATTAATGCATTTCAGATATATTTGGCATAACAGCTCGTTTAAGAAGGATAAAACCCAAATCTATTATGCATTAAAATGTAATAACTGTTCAGAAGGAAGTTCTGAGTTATTAACTCCGAGTTATGAGTTATTAATAAATTTACATTACACAACAGCCTATAACAGCAAATGAAAGTGACAACATCCAGCTTATAATAAAACATTAAAAAAATGTTTTAGTATTTAAAATTTTAAAAGATTTATGTAATTACTTAAACTGAAATTTGACTAGAACAGTAATATAGGGCTATTCTTCAAAAAACAGAGCTGTTCCTTCAGTGATCTCATATAATCTAAATCGTGTATATGAGCCACTCTTTTTAAGAATTTGGTAACCAAGAAAAATATTTAATTTTCTGGACTGTCCTCTTGTACTTACTGAGCCTGATTTATGTAACAGTTTGGAGATAAGAGATAATCTGAATTCATCCCTAGAAATGGTAAATAAGTGTTTAAATTAAAAAGATTAAAAAGAAAATAGAATGTTTAGAAAATAAATATAATTCTTTGGCACATAGCAAACAAAACCATAAACAGCTTTCTCTATAGGAAGTATAATGTATGCAGTACAATACCTGTATATGCAAACTGAACAAGATCCCATAGTGCATTGGGATCTATGCCTTCCATTTTGATCTCTTCTTGCTTGGCTTCACAAACATCACTTGTAAACATTGCAGCAAAGTAGTCAGAGACAGAACTGAGGACAAGTCTGCAAAAAGTTAGAAACTGGTGTCATTTATATGAACATAACAACAAACCGAAACCCCCCAAACTTATTAAAAACATATTTTCATAGTAATTATAAATTAACAGGAGCAATCTATTATTAATGCATGTAGGCAGCAAAATACAGCATGACATTTAATTCTAATTTGGTTTTGTTTCCTGTGATATGAACCAAGTGGCACACAGACATATAACTATAAAACAGACATAGAAATTAGTGCTCAGTCTTTCTGATAATTTTCCAATCATGCAGATGTCCCAATTGTTAACACGTCAAACTCCTCAGTATCAAAGACAACTTATTAGTGAAACACATTTCATACTCCAGAGGTACTCTTCATTATTCTTAAAAGTCCTATTTTTTATAAAATCTACTAACGGCACACAACTTTACACAATCTTCCAACCTTTAGTAAAACTGTTAGTAGCTTAACATGCTATTCAGTAAAAATAAATAAATCAATCATTGTGTAATACAATGTTTTTGTTAAGAAACATTTCCAAAGGAAAATAATTTCAAGATATTTACAAAATATTCATGACCTGTTTAGGGATCTGGTTTAGATAAATCAAAACCACAATAAGTACCAGATAGGATTGCCATTACCAGGGCCTTAAGCTAAGGCATTCTTCTAAATTCCATCTACAGTGATATTATGATTTTGTTAGGAGTAAATGTTCACAGATGTTCTTGAGCTAGAAATGTGGTACAGCTATAAATAGAGTACCACATGCTTCCATAAAAGATGGTCACATTTCTGGTTTAATTTGAAAACATAATACATAAACACATTGAGAAAAGACACAAGAATCGCAATTGTAGAACTTGGAAACCAAAAGAAAATATTTAGCCATTTGTATACAGTTAACTATTTTGTTCGAGGAAAAAAAAACAAACAAACCTGAAGAATAACAAGTTACTGCTTATTAGCCAGTGTCGTAATTGATTGCTTTTGCTCTTTTAGCTCATCCCAATAGCAAAGTAAAATACAACACTTTGGATTGGCTTCATAATTTTACAGTGCTTTAAGTTACTATGTTTTATATGCAAGTAGAGCAGCTTGAGAACATATATATGGTCTTTACTCTGGCTCAAGTGATGAGCAATGACTAATTAGGTGCAGTAGTTTTATCACTTCTGGTGGTGTGTTCAACTCTAGCAATCATGAACTTTAGAAGTAAAGATCCTAATTCACAAACAGCTCACATTTGTATTCATAACATTAATAAAAACAATAGATGGCTACAAAAAAGATGAAATTAGAAATACACTTTGTTGCTACCTCCAGAGACTCCTAATTCACTAATTGTTTATTTATTTTTTAATCACTGAGGACAATTACTTCTATGTTTGTTTATTTATTACCTCAACTGAGTTTCACTGAGTTTTAGTCAACCAAGATAACCATACAATTCTGAATAACTAAAAATCTTATAACTCTTCTTCAAATAATTTTTCTGACCCCTTGTTTCTAAGAGACTTGATTCCCTGTTATTTGATGTTTGATCTAAAAAAAAAAAAAATCACAGCAAAAAGCAAAAAAAAAACATGATGAATTGATGATTTTCTAGGAGATACAATCTCTCACAGCTAGCAGAGATGTAATTTAGGTCTGTGATTGAGATTTCCATTTGAGAGCATTTTGCATCAGCTGTTCCTTCAGATTTATTAACCACCAT